GGCAGAGAGCAGTACTGTTACAACAAACCAGTTGTAAAAGGATTCTCATGAACTTTTGAAGTCCATGAAGATAACTGCTGAATCTTGGTTTCTACTTATTGTTACCTGACAAGATAAAACTTTGATTTGTTTTGTTACTTTGCAGCTCCCACAATGTAGTAGAGGCAGGCAAAACTTAAGTCTTGTTTCTGTCAACCATTCAGCAAAAGTAGATTTTTCAAATGCTGCATATGCTTAACCATTCTGTCTTCAATGCTATCTCTTTTTCTTCTTGCTGCATTGGTGAACCAATGGGACATGAACTAATTATACTTTTCAGGGACAGTGGACAGTGATTATGGATTGTTGGATATGTTCCACTGTTTCTAGGGGCTTCCACATAACTTGAATGTTTACTCTTGGCTCCAGCTTGCCAGCCTCTTCTCTAAGCAGAGCGTTTTGTTTAATAGAGCTTTGGTTATCAAAAGGAGTAGAGCAAGGCTTTTGGTGAATGAACAAAGCTTTTGAGTAGAGGCTTATTTGTGCTGCTGTTGCAAAAAGAACAATGTTAATATTAAATGGCTGAACCAGAACATCCCCAAGAAGATGGTGCAATGTGGAAGGATTTCAGAAAGCCATAGAATTTTTAGGCCCGGTACCTTAATAGTAATGTTGTGTAACTTTGAATTGGGATGTTTCTTCGTGTATTATATGTAAAAGCAAAGGAATGAGTAATTCTGATAAAATGGAGCTTGAGATGTATCATGAAACTTGGGAAGTAGCATTTTCTGAATCAGCTCTGCAAGTCCAATTTATATATGGAATAGTTGAGTAGAGAGGTGTTTTGAAATACGTGCTTTTTGAGATTTCAAATTTCTCAAACCATATAGTCTGAATTTTTGCTGCTTCTGAAAATTACTTCCTTGGTTTTTTCTCAAATAGTTTATATTGGAAAGCTAAGAAAAAAACTGTGTTTAGTGGAGTGAGTAGTCTCTTAAAGCTTGGTTTTGTGCAGATTTAAGCCCTTTACTGCCTTTTTGCACTTTTCCCCCATGTCCTGCATGTAATGGCTGGGCAAGAGCCAGCACATGCTGTGAATAACTGTGTGCTAATTTGTTCAGGTGTCAGGCCAGACAGCGCATGGAGCTGAAGCTCTTGTTGAAGTATTGACAACTAAAGTTGCTGTTCTGATTTTTCTACAGTTACACTATTTTTTTTTGTTATTACCATTAATCTTTTAGTATATCATGTGCTTGTCAAATTCAGATAGTTGGATTTAAAAGCTCTGATTAGTGGGGAGTAATGAGGATACCAATGATGTAAATACTGAGTGATCGTTCCCCACCATAACTTAACAGTAAGTTGCATGGCATAAATTTCCTTGATCTTTATCATAACAGTAACTTTTAAATAGCTTTGAAATAAAAAATGTGATGGCCTGATCAGTAAAAATATTCACATTTCTCACAGCAAACTTTTCTTTGCGCCAGATTCAGTACTGCTAGTGAATTGTTTTAAGGCTACGGAAAGATAACTATTTAAAAAAAACAATTGTATGATGATGCTAGTTCTGTCTCTGACAATATTTTTAAATTTTAATTTCTAATTTTGATTTCATTCTAATGGTATTGCACAACACACTGCCATTTTCTATTTTGTAGATAGCTGAAAATTGTGTATTACGGCTTGCTTGAAGCATAATCAATGCAGTACTGTGGATTCCTGTCAAGTCAGATGATAGTAACAGAATGTAGCCAGAAAGAGCATACAGGTCACCAGCAAACAAGGGAGGACAACAGGCCTTTTATTGTGTTCTGAATGCCTGCTGGAACGGCTGCTGATGTTCAAAGCATTGTGTGGTACTTCATACAGAAATAGATAAAGCTGTGTCTTTTAATAGTTTCTTGTGTGATATTAAAGTTTTAAAATTTGGCTTTCTGAAGGACTTGTCTGTATTTAAGGCTCAAAGAGTTCTCAGAAAAAGTACAATTTCTTAAGGTAAAGAAACTTACATGAAATTTAATTTGCATCTCTGGTGTGGTAAAGTAAATGTTTTAACCTGTGTTTGTATAGCTACTGCTGTCAAACTCTGTTAAAATGAGAACTTCTTGCTGAAGCATGTGTGACTAAGTCTGTTTCTTTTGCTTGGTGGTTGTGTGTTGCCCACTAGTAATACTGTTCTCTCTGCTACCAGTAACAGAACCAATAAAGAGTGCCTGGCAGGCTTAAGTTCTAATAGTTACTTTTAAGGCATTTTTAAGTTGTTACGCTTTTGTGTTAAGTATTTAGAAGAAACTAGTTGCTCCAGGAAACGCTTTTGGAAGCTTGCTTTCTGAAGGCTTGCAAAAATTGCAACGCAATGGAAGAATTGACACCTTCCAGAAGCTTGCATCATTTTAAACCAACACAGTTTGGACAGCACAGTCTTCCTTCGTACCTGTTTGCATATTCATAGAGCTGTTATCTACAATAGCTGCATAGCTGGTAAATGATCTAAAGTCACAAAGGACCTTGGGTCCTTATTTCTCCTAGGAATTGCCTGTAGTGGTCAGGAAGGCTTGAGACTATTTGATGTGGAGCTGATTTTTGGTTGGTTTTTTTCCCCTCCTGAATGCTTAGGCACTTCAGGGTAATGATGAAGCAGAAAACTGGGAGGGAGAAAGGTGAAAAACTGGATTGTGGTTTGACTGTTGATCTCGGGACAGGTTTCAGTGGTACTAGTGACATGGTAATTGTGATGTGTTTCTTTCATCTGACTTGTTTTAGGTGGTAGGAGAAGGTGGAGTAATTTAATGGCCTGATACAGGTGGGGAGGAGAACCTCCTCTGTCATTCATTAGCACATCTTAGGCTGGATGCAAACTGATCATCGTGGTACAGCCCTGAGTGGTATTTTGCTAGGTGTGGGATCAAGTAGGGGCTTTTCTAATGCTTGTCTTTCTGATTGTCTGAAATTAGTCACAACTTTTTCTTCAGTGTTTCCTGATGTTCCTCCCAATACTGAAGCTGGGGTGGGGTGTTGGGGAGGGGGGTGAAACAGAACTGTGTAGATTTGGCCACCACCAGCTCCTGCTGCCAGGTGTTCTGTAACTAGCCATAAACAGGACTTCTCTTCCTCCTAACAATTGTATAACTACTAGTTGGTACAGTTATACTCACAAATCTAAGTATAGAAATACTACTACTGGCCCACATCAGACTGTCCACTGCAGATGTTTAAAGCTATACCCATGAATGTTCTGATTTTATAAATTTTGTCAGCAAAAAGTAGCTCTTATGTGAAAGATTGCTACTATTAAAATAGTGCTATTGGCTATTACTTTAGACCAGACTTGTGACTTTTTGCCCAAGTTTATATCTTCTAACTTTGTATGAAAAAGTATTAAATACCTTCCATTTCATTTCATCAACTACCATATTGCAAATAATGACTGTTTAAATCTGCGAATTCAAATCAGTGCATTGAACTTAACCCTTTTGTGGAGTACAGTTGCTGAACGGATGCTGAATAGCTGAGTTTATTTGAAGTAGGAACTACTGATCTTATTTTTAGATGAGTATTTGAATCACTAATTTAGAGCTATCCTTTGATCATTAGATCTGTTTCCCATTGTTGTTGTTTGTCTCTATCCAGTAAATGACAATAAGGACTGTGGAGCATTGGATGTGCAAGCAGGCTATATAACACTGAGACATCAAGTATGAAATACATACTTATACTGTCTGTCTAATCTCTCTCATCCTGAGCAATCTTTGAAATTACCTGTGAGATTTATCACATTTGGTAACTAGCGCTCCCAAAGATGCCAATTTGCTACAATTTTAGTGAAGCTAGCTGGCCAGGTAAAGAAGAAACATTCCCCCCCCCCTCCCCCCCCAGTAAGTTAGTGCCTCTCTGGGGAAGATGATGTAGTGGAAGCATCACAGCTTTTACCTTGACTTGCCAACTTTCAGGGCAATCAGTTTATGCAGCTTTCGCTTGTTGGGAGCACGTGCTTCCTCTGAAGGTCATGGGGACAATGCTGAGAACCTGACACTATTGCAGGGATAGAGGGCAACGTTTGTAGCAGGCTTGTCAGAGGGATGGTCAGAACTATTTGAGAAAGGGTGTGGAAAGAAAGGGATGTGCATCATAAAAACAAAGATTTTACCTTCATTTCTGTAGAAGAAACCAGTTGTAAAATGGGAGTCTGTTTTAGAGGGTAGCTAATGTTTGGTATATTGTTTGGGTGCATGGTCAGGTTACTTGCCCAGTAGTCTTAAGTGCTTAAAGTAAACATTTTAAGTGTGACAGCTCCTGTGTCTTGTTTACTTTTGAGGACAGTCACTATTCTTGTTTTGGTCAGGAATTGAAGTTGAACATACTGAGAATTTTGCAGTTGGTTCAACTTTTGCTCACAACTACAATTAGAAAATTAAAGCAGAGCAAGAGTACTTTTCCTCCTCTCTCATCCCCTCACTCTAATTGAATGTATATGATACCATAGAAACTGCATCATGGTAAGAAGGGCTGTTTTAAAAAAAAAAGTTCCTATACTCAAATAGTGATTTGATTATATATATATTTATATAAGTGTAAATACTAAATCTCAGAACCTTTAAAATCTACCATCTGGGGCTTATGGCATATGGAATCTGTTGAAACAGTTTAAACCCTGAAGTACAGGTAAGGGAATGCATAGAATTAGGTGAAGGAGAAGAGTCTTAAAGATCATGAGTAGAAATCAGGTGCTTTGCCCTTCCTGACTACATACTACAAATATTTTGTAAAAGCAATATTTGATGGTGAAATTGGATGCTAGGATTTGCTTGCTGTGCTGTGACAGATGGTCTTTCAACTTTGAAGTATTTAGACCAGTACACGGTGCACTAGTCACTTGTTAAAGTAGCTCAGTCTGGAACAAAAAATGTGCAGCCACACAATTTTTAATGGTTTGATGTATTAACAATTGTAAAGTTAAATAGGTTTTGAATTAATCTATTTTCTCTGATTAATCTGTTGTGTTTGTTTTTTTTAATAAGGTGTGCAAACAGATTTGGCTAGGCCTATTTGATGATAGATCATCAGCAATTCCAGACTTCAGGGATCCACAGAAAGTAAAGGAATTTCTACAGGAAAAATATGAAAAGAAAAGATGGTAAGATAGCCTTACAATTATAAAGATTGCCTCTATGATAAGAAGTGAAGATGGACTGTTATCCTCATGTTCTTGTGTGCTTTCCTTCTCGTGTGCTCTTTGGACTAGATGGCACAGCTCTAAAGTGAAATGATTTCTGTACTTTATTTGGAGGTCCTACAGGAAGCAAGAAAGACAAAACTACTTAAAGAAGTTTCTCAATGTGTGGTTTATACTGATGGAACAGAAATGGCATAAGGGGATGTCAACAACAGTGTAAAGTAAGGGTTTTGCGGGCTTTTATTAGGAGGTGGAAGATGTGTGGTTTGTATTAAATAAGTGCTATAAAATATTGAGGACTTGGAATTTTAGTCTGTTTTTTTTAAAAAAATATTTGGCGTATTTCCATATGGTGTTTTGCAGACCACTGACAGAGTTTGTTGCAGGGTCAGTGGTTAAAATAGCAAAGCTACCAGTTCTCACACTTGAGTCTTATGAATGTTGAGCAGAACTTTTCACATTAAACTTGTAAAAAACATTGTTCTTTTTGAATGTAGGTATGTTCCTCCAGAGCAAGCAAAGGTGGTGGCATCGGTCCATGCATCGATATCAGGGTCTTCTGCTAGTAGTACAAGCAGCACACCTGAGGTGAAGCCACTCAAATCTCTCTTGGGAGAAGCGGCACCTGCACTGCACTTAAACAAGGGCACACCTAGCCAAGTGAGTAATGACTGAGCTGCGCGGCACAGAACTCTTCAGCAGTACTTTTTTAGTGGCACAAGAATTCTTGCAATAGCGACTGTTACCTAATAATATGATCACTAAAAACATGATTTTATGTTTTTTTGGTTGAAGTTTACAGATCAGGTTTTAAATTTAGTTTGTTTCTATTGACCAAATTGATTTTTCTTTTAAATAGTTATTTTCAGTAAGCAGAATTTTCCAGGGTGATTGACAAGCTTAATTATCATTGTCTGTTGTATAAATATCTCTGAAGTTTGAAGCTAATGTGATACATTTTCATGTTTGGGGTTTTTTTGAAAACAATAAAATAGCTGATACTGTTAACCATGAAATTAGTAGTATGTGGATGAAAAGCGTGCATGTTCATTATTACTTCCTATGCATTCTGTAACTGTCTTACCAAGTGACTTTCAGGGAGTGTCTGTATGCTGTTCTGTATAACAAAACAACACTATGTACTTAGAATTTGGAAGAGGAACACAGTTTTTAAAAACTGTTTCACCTTTAGGATACAGGCAATTCTTGAATGGACCTCTAAAGACTCAAACAGTAGAAATTTGCAGCTTGCAGCCTTGTCATGAAATTCTCCAACTTTTCTCTCTGTATACTGAATACTAAAGACTTTTTCAGAATGCAGTGAATAACTATTTTCCAACTTGTAAAATTAAGTTTTATTGCTTGTATTTGCAGTTTTAAATACGTAATTTTGAAGTTGTTTATACTGCTACTTTATTCTTCTAGGCCCTGTTAATCAATGGAAATCTGCTGCAGAGTTCTAAAAGCCACCATAGTATCATAAATAGTCTTCCTCATACTATAGGAGGAGAGTCTGTGCTGTATACAGCATCTTAAACTTCAGAACGAAATGGCTTGTTAAAGAAATATGCTTAGTCTATCTTTCTAGTATTTTGCAAAAGTCAGTTTGGTAAAATATCAGCTTTTATTAGCTAATTGAAATGTTGTTTATAGTCTCCTGTTGTAGTTCGATCTCAAGGACAGCAGCAACAAGAAAAGAAACAATTTGACCTCCTCAGTGACCTTGGCTCAGATATCTTTGCTGCTGCTCCTCCTCAGTCAACTGCTACAGCAAATTTTGCTAATTTTGCACACTTCAACAGTCATACAGGTAAGTATTCTGAGCAGTGTATCCCTTTTAAATGTATAAAATGTAGTTTTAATTTTTCATGACTTTAGACTAAAACCTCTTCATGAGGTATGTGTAATTTCTGTGCCTTAAGAATGTTGTATTGCTCAAGATTTCCTTTACATCTTTATAAAGAAAGGTTGAAGACATAAAGGCTGATAATCCTGCTGCTTGAAGTGGGAGTTGCTATAGCTATTTTCTATGATATGTATGATTAGACTCTTTCTGCCCACTACTAGAACTTTAAATTTTTCGGGGGAGTGAGAGGATGAGTAACAGAATGTAGGGAGAAGCTGCTATTAGATCTTCAATTTTCTTTCTGCAAATTATTAGGAAGAGCACTCATGGAAAGAACGCAGATATAGAGACTTCTAAGGGAATTCAAATGCATTGACAGTAACTGTCAATTTAAGAGAAAAACAAAGGCTTCCTCAGTTTAGAGAATGACCTCCTCTTTTGTGTGTGTGTCTATTTGAAAACTGAATACTACCCACGTGGGTGGTGTTCTGTAGTTTCAGGAAGAATAAACAAGCTTTGAGCATATGTCTTGATGGAGGATGGGGGTAGGCCTTGAATTCTTAATGAATGACTTCAGTAAAATATATTGAGCCCTCGGGGTTTATTTTCAGCCAAAGATCTTGAGCCATAGAAGTCTGTCCTAAAGAAAAAGCTGATTCTGTGGTCACTAAAGTATGTTGTTGCTAACTTGCATTGTAATTGTGGGAAAGTACCTTTGCCTGCCTTGTCTGAATGGGTTCTTCATCTAGTTTTTCTGAGAGAAACTGTGATGCTGCTAAGCCAACAAGAATAAGAGGTATTTCCTGAAGATCAGTCCCAAAATAATTAATGACTGAGAAGTGTGGTGGAGGGGACTTAAGGCACACCTGTGGAACTGAGCAAAGTATGAAGGCTTTCTCAAAGTTAACTTTAAAAGAAAAAAAAGTTGCAAAATAACTGGCTGAATTCAGTAATACACTGCAACAGCCATTCTTGTTCTGTATTTTGTAAGGTCCTTAACATAAGATTTCATGCTAGTCATCTTTTTGGAGGTATATTTAACTGGGACAAACTGTGCTGACTGGCCAATGTTGTACAGTGTTACTGAAGAGACTACAGATATTTAGTTCTTTTTAATAACTTATTCTTTCCAAACTCATTGCTGAATGATTCTATATTTATATACACTTAATTACTCTTTGTGGATTTCATGAGATGAAAATTCCATTACACCAGTATTTCAATACTGTGTTCCAAATCTAGGTAAAATTCCACTGCATCTCTGCTGGGTAATTTTAAAAGGATAAAAAGCAATATGAACACTCAAGAATAAATATAATCTTACAAAAGAGTCTGTTAATTTCTGGTTGAAGTAAGTGCTGAAAATTGAGAGGAATATTCAGCTGTACTGACTAGTTTTCTGTTTCAATAATTAACCATTGTGGTCATTCCCATGACTTTTTCCTAAGTCTTAGAACCTAAAACAGTTTCAGGGCTGGTAAATCAGTTTCTAAAAGACAAAAATCTAATTCTGAGCATGCCATAGCTGAATGTATATTGCAGACTGGTTTATCTGAAGGTGTTTTCTGACTTGCTAGGGTAAAACACTTGTAAGGCTTGTTCTGTGTGCAGTAACCACACGGTAGTGTTAACTGAGACTAGTAATGAAATGTTACAGACTGTTCCCTTTGGAACACAAGGAGGGTTGATGAGTCCACCAGCTTTGGCAAAAATGAGTTTTGAATGCTCATTTAAGGAGCCGTATAAACCTGTCATTCTTGTTAGTAATCACACACTACAGCAGAGGATGGAACAACTTGCAATTAGTCCAGCACTACTTTCTTGAAGTTTATGGTCTGGTGTTCTTGTTTTAGGGTTTGGTTTTAGCTGTGCCTACAGGGGATGGACTTTTCTCTTTTCCTTCATGTATGCTATGGTTAACTAAAGAAATCACTGAAGAGCACCAGCAAATTAAAGGTCTTCCAGTATAAGTTACTGTTCTGCAATTAAGGCACAACTGAGTGCAGCAGCTGATAGGAAAATATTAACAAACTTGTGCTGTGATCTGTAAAGTCTAGATGTAAAGCTTGAAAATTATGCAGGAAGTGCAACTTTTGATAGGTTTTTTTCTGAGTTTTCTAATGTACTAAGCTGGCTCAGAACATATTGTATGTTGAAGGGGAAACATGCTGACCTTACTGTATGTGTTTAACTTATGAAGTTCCATAGTTTACAGACTGGTAATAGCGACAAAAAAGCTAAACACTTTTGGCATGTAGACTTTCTATAAACTAATGAAATAAAGACCCGCACAAAAGATAATTAAAAGGCATAGTGACACAGCACAACTCTATAACAAGGGAGAAGAGGCTTTACCCAGAGGAAATAAAATAGTATGACATAGTTATTGTCTTCTAGAGAATTATTTTCAATTTTGTAAGTGAATATATGTGGACTTTAGTTTTTGTTTTGCAATGTTTCTTGCCTTTATTCCATGCTAGGTAGTACAAACCTTATAGAAGAAACTATGAAAAGATTGTAGGGGCAGTTTGCGTTGCCATGACTGGTGCTGTCATTCTTGAGCTAGCTTTAGCCAGTGAGATTTTGTACTGCCTCATTGATCTGCAGTCACAACAGCAGTTGTGAATCTATGCCAATCTACAGTCTATTGCAGTTCCTTAACTTAGGGTTGTTCTTGGGTTTCTGCATGGAGAGCTGAATTTTGGAATTGCCGGTCCATCCAGCCCAGAAAGCCAACCGTATCCTAGGCTGCATTAGAAAACGTGTGACCAGCAGGTCAAGGGAGGTAATTCTCGCCCTCGGCTCTGCTCACAGAGACCCCACCTGCAGTACCGTGTCCAGCTCTGGGGTCCCTGCTACAAGACAGACATGGACAGTTAGACTGAGTTCAGAGGAGGCCCCACAGAGGGCTGGAGCACCTCTCCTATGAGGACAGGCTGAGAGAATTGGGGTTGTTCAGCCTGGAGAAGAGAAGGCTCCAGGGAGACCTTAGAGCAACCTTCCAGTACTTAAAGGAGCCTACAGGAAAGCTGGAGAGGGACTATTTATCAGGGAGTGTAGTGACAGGACAAGGGGGAATGGGTTCAAGCTGAAGGAGGGTCGATTTAGATTAGATGTTAGAAAGAAATTCTTTACTGTGAGAGTGGAGAGGCACTGGAACAGGTTGCCCAGAGAGGTTGTGGAGGCCCCATCCCTGGAAGTGTTCAAGGCCTTTGGGCAACCTGCTCTAGTGGAGGGTGTCCCTGCCCATGGCAGCGGGGTTGGAACTAGATGGTCCTTAAGGTCCCTTCCAACTCAAACCATTCCATGATCTACATCTTGTTCAGGTACAAGAAAGTACAAGTCTTACCTGGTGTTTACCTTTGTACCACTTTTACATAGGTTTAAACTTTACCACATAAAATAAAGCAAGATTAACATCTGAATACTCTGCAGAAGAGTCTTTACAGCTTTAATGTTTTAACATGGGCCCACTTACAAATCATACTTTCTGTGTCAGCTGATGCAATAAAATTATGTGGCCTGTAATATAATTAGACTAAAGGATATTTCATTTAAGGTTCTTGACGTAATATTCTGAGTGATTAAAATGAAAAATTTTGTCATGATTCTACAAGTGACATTTATGTACTTAATCCTATTTTGTCAACTGAACATCAGTCCCTAAGTAGCCCCTATCTTATTGATGCACCAGGTTGAAAGCATCGCTTTCATTTTAAAGCAGGGTGTAATTGAATTCTTAATCCATTCCTCTTTAAAAAGGTACTGGTTTAAAACCAAAACAAACAAAAAAGCCCCCAAACTATGAAATATGGAGTTGAAGTCCGTAGAATACTGTTTGAACCAATACAGATGGTATAATAATAGAAACTAGAAACCACCTTCACCACTTCTTTCCAGACTGTTTCGCTACTGACTCTTCTACATGCCTCAGCCCCTGAGAGCAATGGGGGTTGCAGTCAGTTCATAACATTCATCTCTGCTGTTTCTTCTTCCTCATGCTCTTCCTCTGCTCCGTTGCGGGGTTCCTCCCCACCAGTGGGATACAGTCCTTCACAACTTTCTTCAGTGTGGGCCCTTCCCATGGGCTACAGTTCAAGAACTGTTCCAGCATGGGCCCTTTCCATGGGCTATGGTACTTCAGGCACGGACTGCTCCAGTGTGGGCCCCCACAGGGTCACAGCTCCTGCCAGACAACCTGTTCCTGTGTGGACACTTCTCCATTAGCCACAGCTCCTGCCAGAAACCTGCTCCAGCATGGGCTTTCCACAGGCTCCAGCTTCCTTTAGGGCATCTCTACCTGCTCTGGTGTGGGCTTCTCCATAGGCTGCAGTGTGGCTATCTGTTCTACTGTGGTCCTCCATGGGCTGCAGGAGGGGAACCTTCTTCGCAATTGTCTTCTCCATGGGCTGCAGGGGAATATCTGTTCTGGTGCCTGGAGTACCTCTTTCTGCTCCCTCTTCACTGACCTTGGTGTCTGCAGAGTTGTTTCTCTCACATATTCTCACTCCTCTCTCACGGCTGCTACAGTGGGGTTTTTTTTACCCTTTCTTAAATACGTTACCACGGAGGTGCCACTGGCACTGGGCACCGTCAGGTCTGTGTTTGGAGCTGGCTGAAACTGGCTGTCAGAAATGGGTGCAGCTTCTGATCTCTTTTTCCCAGGGGCCACCCCTGCAGCCCTCCACTACCGAAACCATGCCATGTAAACCCAATATGCATGCACACTTCTAAAAAGTGGTATCAAGTAGAGTCAAACCTCACCCTCTCTCCCAGTATCCCCTGTGAAGGGAAATACTTTCATTTATATTAGGAGCATTGTGGGATACAGTAGTTTGTATAAAAATGCCCTTTTTAGTTTATAAATCTGTAGTACAGATGTTTTTTAAATAGAAATTCAGTGAAATAGTGCAACTTTTTATTAGCATTATCTGGCTATTAAGTAATGGTACTTAAACAATCAGCATAATTTAATGTTTTTGTGTATATTTAATCTGCAAAATCCCTCCAGAATAAACAAATCCTGACCCAAAAATATAGTGTACTGCCATCTGTTATTCTAGAAGGTGTTTTGTGGGCTTTCTTTAGATAGTAATTCAAGTTACCTATATATATAGGCGTTAGTTTTGTGTTTGATTAAAAACACTTTTCCCTTTATAATAGTGTTTAAGACTTTCTGTGAAGCTTATCAGTTAGGCACACAATTCTTGTTGAATCTATAGATGCTTGAATGTCCAGCTGTTTGAAATTAGATGGGTGTTAACTTCTATTTTCTCCTATAGTATGGCACGAAAGGAAGGCGAAAACTGAAATTCTATTTGAAATTTCCTTGGATTTTATTTTGTGGATGCACTCTATGAATGCTATCTTCCTGACATTGGTATTGATTTTCCATATTTCTGTACTCTGATTTAGTTTTTTAAAACCTGAATTTTCCAGGGAAATTAGTAAACCTAGCCAAAACCATTTAAGTGATGCCAAACTAAATTCACTCAAGGAAGAAGCACTTGGTGTATGAGGAATTCAAATTGTCAGTATGTTACAAAAATACCTTCTAATTTTTATTCCCAAAGAAATGTTCAGTTAGTCCACAAATTCTAGTTTTGGAAACTAGCATTTAGAATGATACCTGGGTTGAGTTCTACAGGTATACACCTGGTATTCTGTATTTTTTGGCTATTTCTCCCTGACCAGCTGCCACTGCAAATACTCTAGGGTTAAACTGAACTGGACTTCATCAGGTCACGCAGTTGTGAGTAGTAGCTCATGTGAGGAGGAGAGAAGTAGCATTAACTGGTACAGCTCTGTGAAGGTGATTTGTAAAAACTTGTTCAAAGACAACTTTCAATTGTAGTGTATCACATATAATTTTTTTCATGTAAAAAGAAATTACAAGGTAGCACATAACCCTTGGAGGCTGTCATGACCATGAATTCAGTTAATACATCTGTTTTTGTGTTTATTTCCCATATCCATTAACATGTTTTGTTCCTTTGCAATTTACAGCGCAGAACTCTGCAAATGCAGGTTTTGCAAACTTTGATGCATTTGGACAGCCTAGTGGCTCGAGTAATTTTGGAGGTTTCCCCACAGCAACTCAGTCTTTTCAGCCCCAAAATACAGGTAGAACTCCTAGCACTTTTAATTAATATGTAATTGAAATAATCTTTACCTCTGTGTTGGAAGGTACTTAAGCTGAGTTTATTTCTTGCATCTGCCTGCTTAAATGCAATCAAGCCATCTGAAGCTCTGGGGAAACTCAAAATGAATTCCTTCTGTTTGGTATTGATTTTCTTTTTTTTTTCCTAATGCTACTCAGAAGTCTGATTTCTGGCACTATGTGTTTGTTAGCTCTACACTTGAAATAACTATGAAAAGAGTAAACCATACTGCTTTTAATAAATATTGAATTGACTATCTTGTAAGAGAAGTGTTTCAGTAGATCCAAAAGCACATCACAGTAACAAAAAAGTGTGTGTCTATGCATGTATATATAACATACACACACACTTCAGTATGTTTGACTTCATGTGTAGAGGCTATTGCTAAGATTTATTTTGCTTTCCTTTAATTTGATCATGCTTTAGAACTTCTGCTTGAGCTTACACTTGCTGTTTGTCTAGATCTTTGGCTGACTGACTTTTCCTTTTTTTTTTCTTTTGAGTGTGGTGTCGTTTTAAACTTTTTTTCAAATTTTCTTTCTCCCTTCTTATGTTAACTTTAACCCACACACAATTTCTGGCTGTCCAGCGTTCAGAACGCTTTCATCTAGCTGCAGTTTTGGTGAATTTACTTCAGCTTTTCCTCTTCAGGCTGTACACAGTAAGTTCCACGCAGTGGGAAACTCGGCTTGCTTCATTTTATGCCATTGTAGTATAGCACTTTCATTCCTACTGTTGCATATGTTTTAACTTCTTGATTATGCTATTAGAAAGTTGTGTGTTCTGTAGTATGAGTGGAATCATCAATCAACTGATTATAATATGTGACACACTTAATGGAACAACTCGTTTAAATTTAAGTATGTGACCTGTCCAGATCAAATTGTCTGGACACTGAAGAGATGGAAGTTCATGGTTTCATATTTGAACTGAAGTTCAGTTGTGTGGACCTAAGTCAGATTTTTAAAACTGATTTATGTATCTCCCACATCAGTGGAGACTTGGTATAAAAACAGCTGTGTTGTCTTCCCCCTCACCTCTTTCCTGATTGGATGTAGTCTAAAAATCCAAGAACAGAACCAAACTCTCTCTCTCTAAACCTTGGTATGAAATCATACTATGTTTGGACTTCTAGGCACTGTGTTTTACTTAGAACGATGACTGACATCTGAAATGGTTAAACATTGTACCATTAAGTAAATGTAAATAGTAGCTATTCATTAGACATGTTTGACAGGAAAATGAAGCTTCCGTATTTTGAATATTAAATATTCAGACACATACTTATTTTTCTAGCAAAATATTATTGTTGAAATTACTTTAACAGCTAATACATAGCATATAGTTTTTCAAGATCAAATTATGACTATGACTTAAGCTGTTGAAGTTTGGCAGGGTTTTATGTCCCTGATCTGCAGACTGAAAAATATGAAAAAATTATTTTTTTCTGACAACTCAATGTAACTTTGAAGGAAGTGGGAAAGGGTCTTAAACATGTGGGATGGCGGGGGGGGGAACATGTTACCTCATGTAACCACAAAGGTGGGATTACTGTGCCATCAGTTACGGTTGTAGAGACTTTCTCTAGTTTTGGAGTGTTGATCATGTTTAACTTCATTTGTTACAGGTGGAAGTGCTGGATCAGTGAATGCTAACTTTGCTCACTTTGATAACTTCCCCAAATCCTCCAGTGCTGATTTTGGAGCCTTCAATGCTTCTCAGAGCAGCACAACAGCAACTGCAGCCGGTAAAGTTGCAGTGAATAAACCCAGTCTCCAGTCAGCTGACAAATATGCAGCTCTTGCTAATTTAGATAATATCTTCAGTGCAGGGCAAGGTATTAAACTTTCTTTGACATGCTCTTTCTACATGTGTATACTTTCCATAAGGATGGCTGTGCTTGTCAAAATAGTAACTGTATTTCAAAATGTCCTTTCTTTAAGTTATCAGTAAATTTTATGTCAGTAAAATGTGTGAGATGTAAGTGTAAGACTTAACACCACCCAAAAGGATGCCATCAGAAGACTGCTTTTTGGGAGTCTACTTCCTGTCAAGATGAATAAGTGGAAGTATCTAATTATTACTGCAATTATGAAAAATATATGAGAATATAAATATATGTTTTATATTTGTGCTAAAACCTATGATGAAGGCTCTTGAATGGAGAGCTACATTTGTTGCAGGGAACTGCCAGAGTAGCTTTCCAACCTCTCTGCTGCAAAAAGATTTGGTTTTAGTTTTTTATAAATTTGGCTTTAGTTGATTTTAAGTTGAGAAAAAATTAGTTATTCTGTAACTTTTTTCTTCTCAAATGTTGTATAAAAACTTGTGTTGGCTTGTAATGTAGAGCTTTGCCCTGAAATGGATTATTTGAGGGTATGTTTTGTTAAATTTTCTAGTTGAAGATGATGGTAGTATTGAGTCGTCATTTTCCAGGAAAAATAGAGGCTTTTTGGAGCTGCAGAATATCAGTGCAAGCATGACACTTTGCTAATAGCTAATGGCTTGTTAAACATTTTTTCCTGTATACTCTAGTCTATATTTAATTTTTAAGTCTGAAACTTAAATTGTCTATGAACTTTCATTTAGTTCTCAGCATTGACAGGGCAGAAAGTGAAACTGTCTTCATCACTCTTAATCTGCTTTTTTTTCTTTTCAGGTGGTAGTGAGCAAGGAAGTGGCTTCAGTACAGTAGTGTCAGCATCAGCAGGTCCTGCGCTGTCAGCCCCAAATCAGTCAAGTGCATCTTCAGACAAGTATGCGGCTCTAGCAGAATTAGACAGCGTGTTCAGCTCCACAGCAACCTCTAGTAACGCCTATACTTCCACCAGTAATGTTAGCAGGTACTTTGTTAGAAGTAGCTGAATTTCTACAGTGACTTCAGCAATATGCAGAAAAGTACCTCAGAAAAGTTGTTTCTCAAATCTGGTTTTATTTCTTATGTAAATGGGGAAATGTTGAATGAGTTTAGAGGTACTACTGAAACTGCATCCTTGGTTTTAAATAATAGCAGTACTATCTGGTAGGATGTTGTAAGATAAAATTAAGAATACTTTCTGTCAGCAGAATGTTCTCTGCACCTTTCTAGTCATTACATGCTAAACCTGTTAGATGGTAACACTTTTCTGTACAGAATATTTGCATGCATACTGAAAATCATAGCATCATCCCTGGCAAAAAAATTATTCAGATATAATGTAAATGGTGCCAACCACTTCTTTAGATCATTAAAGTAATAAATACCAAATGCTTGTCATAGCCCTGCTTGGTATTGCAAGTGCCCCAAAGCTTCTACTTTGCAACCTTTATGCTGATGGCCTCTGTTCAATATTCTTTCTTCTGCTGTTGGTGGAGATGACTTTTCATTGCTCAGCACTAGTTATTGTCTCTGACCCTGGTATCAGGGGCTCAATTCCTGGCATCGCTGAGTTATATTGCAGTTTGCAAACTGCACGTAAGCATTCCTTTTGTATTCTTTTACATGCCAACAATAATTGTAAGTTGTATTTAATTGTTAAATGAGCAATTCTGACTTCACTGAATGTATGAATTATTTCCAGCAATGCTTTTGGAACAGTACCCGTGGCTGCTACTGCACAGACACAGCCTGCATCTTCGAGTGTGCCTGCTCCATTTGGAGGTATATAAGTGTTACTAACACCTTTTGTGGACTGTAAGCAAACCTCTTACTAATTTTTAGCTGATAGCACTGTATTTTGACACTAGTGATATTGAAGTTACTAAAGGATGCCAAAAAAGTACTGTTGTTGTGATGCATTTCAAATGAAGCATTTTATTAGTATTTCCTAATTTTTCATGTAATTTTAGATATTTGTGTATCTCTGTATAAACTTAATGTGAGTCCGATTGGCTATTTTTAGAAGACTTTATTAAATAAAATGTTTTTAATCTTTCAGCAACACCTTCCACAAATCCATTTGTAGCTGCCCCTGTTGCCCCAGTGGCACCTTCAACAAATCCATTCCAGACCAATAGCCGAGGAGCAACAGGTTAGAAAGAACCACTAAGTGTTTGAGAAACTTTCTTTCAAGACTTGCATTGATTCTTTTTTCATAGCTGTGTAACTTGTTCCTTAAAGATTTTCTGTATTATCTGTCTCTAGTCTATTTGACATGTTGTGTGTTTGTTCAATGTAGAGTACAATATTTATGAATAGGCTGTAGAAATCAACTTCAACTTTTTTTTTTTAGATAAGCGATGTTTTTTATTGGGCTGAGGACATGATTTTCCTGTTTCTGTCCCAATCCTAGAATTCCAAGTGATGGCCATGAAAAATGTCAAAATGATCTGTTCAAGATCTTCTAATCCTACCTAACCTATTTGTAGTCTGTGTATTATCACTTGAGTACCTTCCAAGACTATAACCTTGGCTTGGAAGCATGCTTCATAGCAGGTTGCCATGAAATTAGGGATCTTGTACCAGCTTAGCAACAGGGCTTTCACTTGCTTTTTAAATTTCTTTCTGTATTTCAAAGTCCTGAAAGCCCTCAAAACCAAAGAGCTGAAGCTAGAATCAGGAAAGACAAGGCGTTTGGGCTGTTAACTCCTCACCAGTCCACTTAGTACATTGGTGATGTCCTTTATTTTTCTCTTTTTAACAGTAAAACATATGTTTAAATATAATCTTTGCACTCCTGAATTACACTAATTTTCTGGGGGAGGATTCTGTAGAATCCTAATTCCATAGACAAAAACTTAATCACTCTTTAAAAAAAAACAAACTTGTGCTTTTCTTTAAAATGCTGAACTTTGTTTTAGATGACTGCTAGATTATGCTAATTTTCCTCTCCAAAGATACTGCTAAATTTTGGCACTTTCATCTATTAGCTGGACTTCCACGGATTTAAATCTGCTGATATATACATTTTAACATTGAGTTGTGCTTTGCTCCCAAGTTTTAGGTAGGTTGAATTAAACTGATCAGGCTGGGTTAAAACTGAATTGATCAAATTCATGTCCCCTGCTAAAACAAGTTTTGTTTTCAGTCCCTTTTGAGATATTATGCAGTTAAACTTGTTCAGCCATTTAAGTATCCCAAAGTATCTTCTTCCTTATTTTAATCTCATTCCTAACTGTGCTATTTTGGATTGTCGTTAAGAACTTGTAGCCTCTGAGTTGCCATACTCAAATTCATCCTTCCACCTTCGAAACCGCTACCCTTGGGTTGCAGAGGTTGCAACCTTTTGGCAGCTATGCTGATGTTATGTACTAGGTGACAGAGATAACGACTATACATTATGTTCTACCCCTTTCAGTGTAAGGTGTGAACTTGTAGCTTGATCATTTATGCTAAACTTTCTGCATGAACTTTGCTGTTTATTATGTGGGAGATCTGTTTTGTAGTGCTTATTTCTGATGGTTTTCTTAGCTTAATCTATTGCTGGTCATGCTATGGATTAATTGGTACATATACGTGTGTGTGTGTGTATATATATATATATAAAAAACTAAGAAATGACTGTTCAAGAGTGTATAAATGATTTGACATTGTCTGGTCTCTTTGTGGCTTCCATAAGGCCTCTCGGGAGCAATGCACTCTCACATATTTCCTCAGGCTCATTTTGGTAGGTGGCCACATTTGGTATCAAGTTTCTTGTGGCTAATTGTTCTTGCTTGTAAAAGCTTATTGATAGCTATCTGGTTCTCTGCACATAGAATTTTGGAAGACTTTCCATGTTTTAAAACGGAGTGGGTGTGGGTATTTGGCAACTGGGCAAAGGGACAGAAGAGCATACAAAGACAATCTATTAAGCAACTGAAACAAAACCATTATTGATATCCTCCATGGTCACAATATGATGCTAATACCTTGAGTGACTCTTGAGGTTTCCACCAACAGTAGCTTGATGCCTTTTGGGATATCCCAAGTCATTGCTTATTTTGTTGTGCTTTTGTTTGCTGTTTTAGCAAGTTTTCCTGTTGAATAGCTTCTCTGCTAACTGTAACTTGAGAACAGTGTTAGTACATTAGTTTTGTGCGTAATTTGTCAACAGTTTGTATGTACAATGTCTTGCCCTTGAATATTTTTGGGGTAAATTTTTCAACTGATAATTAAGCTATATTCATTAAATTAATTTTTTAAACAGTCGAGCTTGCGTAAAATCTATCTTGTAACATTTCAAAAGAAGTCTTGTCTAATGTTTAACTAGAATAAAATGCCTCATGTCTGTATTTGTACCAAAAAAACTTCTATATGCATCTCGTTTCAAGAATAACTCCCAAAAGACTGAATAATGGTTTTGTTACTACATTTGTGCACTTGATGTGCGTCTGTTTATTTGCTGAAGGCATGTGGAATTGCAGATGAGCTGTGTGTTCTTTACTTGAAATGTTCAGCAGAGAATCAGATGAAAAGTTTTGGATTTTTTTTTGTTTTAAGTCTTACCTCAACAGTAAGAGCGTTTGCAGTAGGAACTTTGTGTGCAAATAATGTGCATGGTGAGAATTTCCTTTAAAGTGACATTAAGGATGGGATGAAGAGAGGGGGATGCATGTATCTCTTATGATTTCTTTTTTTACTTGTAACTTCCTCTAATGCAGTGTGAAGTAGAAAGATCCTTTCATGCTTTTCTCAGGAGAAAAACAGAGGGGCTTATGCTGCCTGAAAGTGCTTGCTTCTGATGTGTGCAGACTTTTACCAGAAAAACTCTGGGGGAAGTATATGATAATGTAGAGAATGTAAAAAATAATTTCCTTTTCAGAAAGTATATCTGACTGTCCTGGATCTAGTAAATTTTAAGTGATTCAATTCACTTTTAAAGTGCAAAAGTAAATTATGCACGTAGCTGGTGGTGATCCAAGCTAACAAATCAGTTCAGTGGCTGTAAAAGTTGAACCAAACTTTAGTGTGATCACTGAGGCATTAGGAGACTTTTCTTAACATGGCACTATAGTCATTTGTCTTATGAAAAAAGTGATTTCTTACAAATAATTGAATGTTATTTTTTGCCTACCAGCAGCAACATTTGGTACTGCATCCATGAGCATGCCTGCAGGATTTGGAACTCCTGCCTCCTACAGTCTTCCTACTAGTTTTAGTGGCAACTTCCAGCAGCCCACATTCCCAACCCAGACAGCTTTCCCTCAACAGACTGCTTTTGCTCAGCAGCCAAATGGTAGGTCTATACGTTTTGGATAATCTTGTTTAAATCAGAAACATGGAGAAAATTGTAAGTTAGCAGTAATGGGTGTGTATTTATTTCTATGTGAACATGATGATAATACTGATGAGGGGTTCCCACACTGTTCTGGCTCTGTACTTGAGCTTTCGGACTTGGCTGTGTGCAATGGCATAACTGAAATTTTACCATAATCTGATACTAAAATTACAAGTATTCCCAGCTTTAAAGGTTTTTTATGCAAGGATTGTCTTAATTTTTGGAGTGTCTGCAACCAATTATAACATGTTCTCTGACTTCATAGAACACAGGCAAGAGAAAATTGGAAAGTACTTTCTCCCTAAACTTAAATGATAAAATAACATTGAAAAAAGTGCATATGTAGAAATTGGAAATTGATTAGTTCTGAACAGTTGAAAACAAGCAAAAAGCCCAGCCATGGTTTTTTACGCTTAAATTCCTGATAGTGTTTAAGTAGGATCAATTCTGCTGATTGTGCAGTCCAAGCTTACACTTATTTTTGTGTGGGGGACCTGCAGCAAAGAATTCTTTGAAGATTGGTTACTAGCATTAATATTTTTCACTCATCTTTTCAAGGAGCAGGTTTTGCTGCATTTGGACAGGCAAAGCCTGTAGTAACTCCTTTTGGACAAGTTGCAGCTGTTGGAGTACCTAGTAACCCTTTTATGGTGAGTTGTTGCATGATATCAACTTCCGTATGTCTGAAGAGGCAGAATCTGTAAGGCTTAATTTAGAGACACACAAAGATTTTTTTTTTTTTCAAATGAGGGAAGGCAGCATGAGATTCATAGAATGGTTTGGGTTGGAAGGGACCTCAAAGACTATGTGGTTCCAACCCCCCTGCCATGGGCAGGGACACCCTCCACTAGACCACGTTGCCTAAAGCCCCATCCAACCTGGCCTTGAACACTTCCAGGGATGGGGCCTCCACAACCTCTCTGGGCAACCTGCGCCAGTGCCTCACCCC